AAAATGATAAGCTTATTTTGTTATTTATAATTAATAAAATAAAAATTATTTATTATTGATAATTAAAATAAGTTTTTTCAGAAGTTGATAAAAATAGTTAAAAAAAATATTTGAAATATCCCAAATTAGTTGTTGTTGTTTTTTTTTTTTTCTCTCTCAAAGAAATTGGTTGTTGCTTATGCATATAGTTATGCAACCTTTTTTTACCATGGTAGAAATTATATCTAAAAGTAAAATCTGAATCACATTAATCATTATATTTTATTAGGAGCTAAATTAATTTATGTATTTCTAGTTTGTCAATGTTTTATTGATTACTCCGTGACGAAGATTTTTTTTCATTATTATGTGATGTCAAAAAATTATTACTACGTTTCAAGTAGAATTTGTTTTCAAATTAAAAATCCAATTAGCAAGATTAGTATTTATTAATTTCAAAATACAAAAAATAATGAACATATAATTAATCATAAAATATAATTAAAAATAGTAGTAGTCAAAGAGTGTTGGGGGTAGACTGCACACGGCCGACCTGGGCGTGGTGAGGCCCGAAGAGCCGACCTGGGAGGTCGGTTTTGGTGCCTGTACGAATAAGGCGGCCGCGTCACCTCATCCTTTGGAGCAGGAGTTGGACCAGTCATTGCCAGGGACCAGCGGGTATTTAGCAAGCCCCTCCCCAAGCACCGGATTGTATCGATGGGGCGTGTATCTACCCAATTACCGCTATAAATACACCCTTCATCCATGACTCAAGGTATGAAAAATCTGTCTGATGCTTACGTGTCGAGCTTGGCTTGAATACTAACTTGGGCGTCGAAGTGGTTGCCTCCTTGCAGGTACCTCGGAAAACCATCCAAGTGCTCTTGGCCGACCTCGGAGGTCGCCTTCCGTACCCCGACCAAGTTTTTGCATCAACAAAGAGGATTGAGAAGTTTGTGTATGTTGGAGGTAAAATTAATTATTGACATGTGGACACGCTTGCTCAACTCGAGATTACCAAAAAGGAAAAATTAAGCCAACTATGCTCACTGACCTAACCAACTACTAAATTGAGAAGGGTGAAAAACCTCGGTCGACTTGAGGAATCCGACCTCATATCCGACAATCGACCTAGGGCCCAACAAAACCATAACCGACGGTCGAAGGCTCAAATGGCCTTGTCTCCCTCCCCTCCTATAAAAAGGACGCTCAACCCCATATTTTAAGTATGCTATTTTGCTCCAAGAACGATTTGATACAGCTCGCGTTCACTCTAACTTGGGCATTAGTGTAACAACCGAAAAAAATATAAATATATATATTTAAATTATTATTATTTTTTTAGTTGTTTTCTTTTATTTTCTCAAAGATAAACCTTTTTGGTTTAGAAATTATTTTTTGAAAGATAATTTGTTCTTAGAATTTGAAAAAAATAAAAAGAAAGAGTTTTATTAAATCTTTATCTTTTTATTATCCTTTTTAAATAAGGATTCATTAGGATTTGTTATAAAAGCCCTTAAACCCTAGGTTTTATTTTCTTAAACTGTTAGACCTAGTTTTCTCTCAAAGAGAAAAAAGAAAAGAAAAGAAGAAGAGTTTGGTATTTTCTCTCAAAGATCGATAAGATTTTCTTCTCATTGTTTTAGTTTTATTTTTCTTGATTTGTAGTTCTTTAATTCAATTTATTGGAAAAATTTTTGAGGTCTTTGTTTTTTAGAATAAAAGATTTTAAGGACTTTTTATCCTAAAAATTTTCCAGAATTTTTGGTTTGAATCTTTTTGTTTATGACACTGTTTTTGGGTTATTTTGAGACTTTTTTTGCATAAAAGGTTTACCTATTTGTATCCTATAAATTATAGTCTGTTGTTATGATTTTTACATGAAAAAATATATGTTTTTACCAAATTTTAAAGGTTTTCTATAAAGTTTTCAGATCTGATTTTTCTATAAAAATCAATAAATTGTTAATATTTTTATGGAAAATTCTAGGAAGTTTTATTTTATAAGACAGAAAATTTTTCAGATTTAAAATCCCCAAATTTTCAATTGTTTAGAAGGTTTTTAAGCTGGTTTTATTGAGAAACTTTTTGTAAATTTTGTTCGTATTGATTTATATCGATTTTTCTAATTTTAAAATTTGTTATTGTTGAATTTAGAGGCTTTTTAACCTAGTTTTCAGATCTGGTTTTGTAGCCTCAAATCCATACTTTCCTAATTATTTTGCATAAAAAACTGTTTTGAATGGGAAAATTTGGTAGATAAGATTTGGGTTAGTAATTGGTTGAATTTTAAATCCTTGGATAGGATTTAAGAATTGATTTTGGATATTGGTTGTTTCTAGGCCTCTAAGTTGACAAGAACAAGTAAATTAGATTCGTAGGATTTCTGAAAGAGGTAAGTAATTTATCATATCCCTTCAAAAAGTGTTGTAAGTAATTTGTCATATCCCTTCGAAAAAGTATTGTAAGTAATTTACCGTATCCGAGAAGTGTTGTAAGTGATCAAAAACTAAAATGTATTTTGGATTTGATAGGAAGATTTGAAATTGATATCTTGCATATGAAATTGAAGTTTTATTATAGATTTGAAAACTAATTTGGCAATTGAAATTATGTTTATTTGCAAAGTATTTAAAGTATTCTTAAATGATTTGATAAAGTTTTGTTTAAATTTATTTAAAGGTTTGAAATTGATATTTTGTTTATTTGTGAAATATTTGAAATCATGTTTTGGGATGATGATAAAGTTTGTTTTAAATTATTTCAATGTTTTGAATTAATTTAATATTGAAAGCAAGTATTTGTTTTGCATTTTATTTGAATATATTTTGATTGATTTCATAGGGCTATCCGGATATGTCATGATTTTGTTTTGAGGAACGTTTTGCTTATTTGGGGTAGTAGCTTAATTTGAAATTGATGGATTTCTGTTCTGACTTATTTGTGGGAAGACACTTTTGTGGTTTGGCATTCCTTGGGAATGAAGATTCATGTGTGTGTTATTCACTCACATGGCCTCACACTTAAGTAACTCTGTTCTGGTCTATATTATTTCGACAACTATGTTCTGGTCGATATTAATTCGACAACTCTAATAGAAGCTTTTGATTAATTTGGTGTTACCGACGGGTAACCACATATGTTTTATAGGCTACCCAAATAATGCAACATTCCACTCTGATTTTGAAAGTATGAATGAATGTAAGATTGTTTTAAATGTTTGAATGATTTAGTTATTCGAAAGTTTGAAAGTTGTACCAAATGTTTTAGAAGGAATTTTGAAGGTTTTGATTGGAAGAAAGTTTGTTTTGAAGGATTTTGAGTTTGATCAAATGAAAGTTCGTTTTGAATGAATGAAAGTTTGTTTTGATTGACTGAAAATTTTACCTTATTTGAAGACTTTATTTCTGAAAATTTAGTTTGTTTTGAAAGTTTTAAAAATTGTATTAAATATTTTAAAGGAGTTTAAAAGTTTTGATCTGTTAGTATTTTTTTTACGAATGTTTTGAAAGGAAAATGAATTTTGAAATTCGATATGGAAATTGCTTATTGATTATTTTTGTACTCATCTTTGTTTTCCTAAATATTTTTTAGATGAAGGATTGAATGATCGTTCTGGTAGAAGGTGAAGTTTAGCCTACTGGCATGAGTTTGAAAGTCATCCTCCTATTTAGTTGAGGTAGTTTAGAAAAATTCTGTAAAGAAATTTCTTCCGCTGAATAATTTTAGTTCTTAAGGTTTCTTGAAAGTTACGTTTCTGCATTTTGTCAGAATGACCGTATTAGAAAATACGGGTTGTTACAATTAGAGTGTTTGTTCCTTTAGCAGGTTGGTCGCACCTCAGTAGCTTGTTCCAATTAGCATGTGACTGATCTGTGGTGCTCGACAAATATTGCCTCAATAGTGTATAATATGATTATCCGTAAAAGATATTTATTTTTCTTGATATTTGAAGTAAAATTGATCGTTTCTTTTCTAGATACAACGATAAGAATACGTACCTTAAAAAATCTAGAACTACTTGTATTTTATGGTAATCAACTCAGAAATGTTAAGAATATGTCTCTGGCTTTGCTTTTTTTTTTTTTTTTTGCTTGCTAATCCAACGAAATGGGATTATTTTAGTACATTTATTTATTTAGAAATAGGTAATGATGGAAGAATTTGATAACACTAAAGAATTGGGCTAAGAGTTTCTCTACTCCACTTTTGAAAAATGTTTTCTCTACATGGCTTGGGCTAAAGCATGTAGTGAGCTCATGGGCTTGTTAGGCCTTTATGTGAGCTGAGTTGCAAGGGCAAATGTTGTACAAATGTTGCCGCAATCACTCATTTTTAAAAGCCAGCATTCTTAAGACTAAAGAAGCAGACGAATCTATTCACTTTATGACTCACTTTAACTCACGTGGTTAAGGGTCGAGATACTAGAATGAGAAGAATATTTTATTGAGGACGTGAAAGTGATTTTTTTTCAATCCAATTCGCAAAGACATTGAGAAAAGAAAAATTGACTTTCCTCGGATGAAATGAAAATTGGATTCATGTAACAAGGAATACAATAGCCAAGTCAACTTCTGCTTGAATGTATTACATTGGGTATAGCTTTATTTTTTTTTACAGTACAACAAATTAGGTTTGTGGGAGTTTGAACCTCCAACTTCAAAAGAAATAATACGTATCAATTACCATTGAGTTATACTCATGTTGACATTAAATCTCTATAGTAAATTAGTAGGATTCTTACCCATTGTATTTGGTTTATACAACTCTAACTACTACCTAGGATAGCATATGCTTGTGATTTGTTTTTCATATTCAATCCATTAACTATATATTAAGGGCTTGTTTGATAACGTTCCCTTTTCTTATTTCTCGTTTCTAATTTTCTTAAGAAATCTAAACATTTTACAACTATGTTTCCTCGTTTCTCATTTTCTAGAACATTCTCAAAGTTGTATAAAATTTTTGGAAAGAACCAAAACTAGTTTTTCTTTCTTGTTTTTATTTTCAATTTATTCCAAAACATAAATAAAGAGATTGTTTTATCATATTTGAGCTCATGAATGTTGAGATTATGCAGTTCATTTTTCTTTATTAAAAATTGAAAAAAAAAACAAAAACGTCGCCAAACGAAGCCGTAAAAGTTTCAAACTCCACCCTTGCCAGCCAAACCACTCCCACAACCACCTTTCTAAATCGTGTTTGCTATTAGGAACATATTTCCCTCTATATATTATCCACACTGGGCACCTCAAGTTCTTTTAACACTTTACTTCTAGTATCACCAAAAATATCTCATATCAATGAGATGTTGTACTTTGTTATACCCTGGATTTTCTATCAGCACGTCGATGTAAGATATTGTTCGTATTCCCATGCATCAATATTTTCTCGAATAAAGAGTATCGAGACTGTCCTAAATGGTCCTCTATTTGCTCACTCTCAACCATGGATCATACTGTGAGATATGGCTTTCCACCTTTTTGTTTGGCATCTTAGGGTTCATTTAACAATTTTACATGACCTTGTCCCTGAGGTTTACTGCCTTTTTCTCAACACCTAAGTCATATATGACTAACTCGGGCTGCAAGAATTCACCCATTTGCCGACGTGAAAAACGTTTGGGAACGAGTCTCCTTCTCTCCTTCATTCCCTCTTCGTCGATAGTGAAGGTCGTCAGAGGTTGGTGGCAACGACAATGACGGGCCGTGATACGACGGCCCGTGGTGAAATTCATCGAAGGGAGGAAGAAGAAGAAGGTGAATCGATGAGATAATTTGTTTAAGAAAAAAGAAAGAAAAATAAGACCAATCATTCAAAAAAAATATATTACTCAATATATTACTCAATTACTATATTTACCAAATCAGCAAAATATATATTATTCAATTAAATATTTGCAAAATCAGCAAAATAAGTAATCAATTTAATTGCGACGTCATTTTAATATTAGTCAATAAACAACTCAGTAGCATGTAAAACTATTTCTCAAACTTGGGGGACTAAAATGTCCATTTTACACTTCAAGACCCAAATAGACACCTAACACAAATCTCCGGGACAATGAAACTTTAGGAACCAAATAGAAACCTATCCCAAACCTCGGGGACCAAAAGTGTATTTTTCTCGTAAAACTAACATGTTCCAAGAAAATATAACTTCACCCCATGAAATACAATACTGTTAACTCCTTGATCAAAATAACAAACAAACATTTATAGAATGTGAATCAAACTATACTTAAATTAAAAATGAGATATCTAATGCAAGTTCTTCTAGATGGGAAGAGATTGACAATAAGTTCTTAAAATGATTGACATAATCCATCCCAAAGTTCATATTATTTACATAACACCTCAAGTATCCATAGACTGACCAAATTAAAAGGAACAATATGCTGAAACAAAGAGCAAGAACATAGACACCATCCTAGGATTCAGAAACTTATGAAAACAAAATCAGATGAGGATACTGGGTGAGTGTCCAATGAGATGGGAAATCAGCAGCCAACCAATGAAACATCTCGACGTGGCAAAAAGAAAACGATTGCAAGGCTTCATCTGTCCTCGCTATATCTGGTGGTACTGATGGATCGGCTCGACTGCATCCTGCAGCACAGCCATCCTCTCCGACACATCGGCCAGTGATTTGAGGTTGCAGTTTATAAGGGAATGGACAAAGAAGCATGTCTCCTCCTTGGTGTTCCCCTCGGGCACATCCACGACAAAGGACTCGATTACCAGCGTCCCCGGTCTTCCATCAATAACTTCTGGATGGACAGTGATGATTGAAGAGTAGTTCTGCAAGAATTCAGGACCCTCAAACAAATCAACTCCTGAATGCTCTCAACTTCTAACACAACTTGCATCAGTATTCGAACTATACTACACATGATATCAACATTTCCAACATCATTTCTTGAGCGAGTTCGTTTCTTTAGTATCCACGGTAGGAAATTGATGATTGTAGACAAGATAATCGAGTTCCTACCACAAAATAAAATTTCTGATCATTTCTTCAATGAGTTTGCAATCTGTTTACTATCAATTACTAGTCTACAGGGAGTCTTAAGGAACAATCAAACATCAGCTCCAACAAACAGCCAACATATAACTTTCTTCTATTAAAAATTCTACCCGAAGCTTGAGCTTGAAACCTCGGGCCATAATCCCACCAAAATCCCCATCAGAGTCACCCCATTTTGCAAGATTTACCAAGTAAAATTCATGGAATGCAAGTAGTAAAAAGAGAAACCAAGAACAGAAGAGCAAAAAGGAGGCAATATGAATACCCTGAGCCTGTGATCGCCACCAACAATCTTGATTCCAAGAATATGTTCCTCATCATCAAGAAGCTCCAATCTCTCAGTGCTGGTGGTGGCAGGGAGGCCAGATTTGACATCAACTTCTCGAAGACTGCCAATTCCAAGATCTCCCCTCACCACGCACCGGCTCACGAAAGGCTTGTACCTCTGCGGCCGATCGAAGCTCCTCACCAACGACCACACCTAATCAAACAACACCACAATGAATTTCGCAAACCAATCAAAATCTTTCAAGGAGAGGATCGATTTCCCCTCAATTTCGATGAACAAAATTACGGAATCTGTGCCCTAAAACACATGCTCTGTAAATTCCCCAATAGAAAACCTGAAGCGATTTCAAATTGAAATCAAGAAACAGAGCGATTGAGGAAAGGAAAAAGAGAATTACGAGGTGAACGGGAGCTTTGATGTGCTTGAAGATGGCGGAGGAGCACTGGTTGTCTGTGGGGTGGTGGGTGTGGTGCCTGTGGATGTACTGAGCCTCCATGGATGGAAGAAAATGGCGGATAAGGAATTGAAGGCTATGGAGAGGAAGGCAATGGATGAAATTGGAATTGAAATTGAAATTGAAATTGGAATTGGAATTGGATTTGGAGAAGAAAAGTGAGTGCCACACATTCTTATGCTCTCTTCCCCTTCCCCACCGACAAATTCCAATTTGGCTAACTCTCAAAACTTTTACTCACTCTACATTTTTTCATATGATACAACAACAAAAAAAAAAAACAATTTATGTGTTTTTAGCTCAATCAAATTATTTTATAACATTTTTCTGTTTTTCGTTTCTCGTTTCTTTAGAAATTTTTGGGAGCTTTGAAACGACCAACCACATGGTAGAAGTGGAGAAGGGAATTTCTCGTCTATGAAAAACAGACTAGTAACACCTTGAAACCTCAACATAAGCTCGGTGCTTGACAAGGGTCGAGTTAAGATGTATGAAACCGCGTGCTTGGACCTTAAGGCTGAGTTGAGGTATGTGGAGCTACAATCAATTACCCTCTAAATGTTGTTGGGAATCACGCAGCTGCAGAAAATTACAGGTAAGTGGGGCATGTTAGTCTATGCTTATAAATAACAGAAACTTGCTCTGTATACAGGTACGCAATTTTGATTTCTTATTTCGGGAGTGATACCTCGAACTATTACTGACTTGAGAGTCAGAATCTTTTCTCTTCCTCAACGAATTCTTCACTCTTCACCTGCTATTTGAGTTGTCAGAATTATCATAAAAACATAAATAAAAATGTGTTCCCGTCTCTTTTGTTTTAAATTCTTATACACATTTTGAAAACAATAAAATAAGAGTTCATTCGGTAACATTTTCATTATTTATTTCTTGTTTCTTTATTATAAACATAAGCTTTTGGTAATTACTTTTCATTTCTCGTACTTAAAAGAAAAGTTTTCAAAATTTTGTAGAATTTTTTAAAACAACAAAGTAAAGTTCGAACTCAAAAACTTAAAAACTTAATTGAAAATTTTTAAAGGAAGAAGAACTAAATAAATATAACAATCACTGATATGTAATTTAACCTTTCTCTTTCTTTTTGAAAACTCATAACCTTTTTTCTCTAATTATATTCTTAATAAATTCAATAATCCGTAAAGTTGGTTTTATAAAATTGTAAAATAATTTTGAGGTTGAAATAGTTTATAATGAGAATAGTTAATTTGATTCAATTGGATGAAAATTATACTTATTCTACAATATTAATTTCAATTTGATTCTTAAAATTTTATAAGTTTTATTATCTGTCTCTATGCATATTTTGATTAATGCTTATTAGATCTTCCTACGAGTAAAAATTTAAGTAACATAAATATCTTAGGATAGACAAAATTGTATATATCTTTAAACAAATGAATATGATTCGAATTTAAATTAAAATTTTAATTGAAAAGTAGGCCTAGATCCCAAAATATTTCCAAATTTCCGTCGTCTTTGGAGGTTTTAATTTATTCTTAACCTAAACTAAATAATCAAACCGGTGACAAAAATATTGCAACATTCAACTTCTTGTTGGGTCCAAATTATTTTTCTTTTTTTCGTTCGATTATTTAAATTAAATAAATCGCATGTTTGTGGTATTTGTTAAGAACCCTATATCATTTGATATGGGGACCTAAAAAAAGTTTATAATAGACATGACTACTCCGTTAATTAGTTTTGAGATAGAACTCATGAATATTGAAATATTGATATGGTATCAGAATCCAAAACATTCAAATGAACATTCGGTCAAGATCGACGTCGATGAACCAAAAGAGTGTCGATCTTGAAGACATGTTAAGAATCCGAGAGAGTCCATTTAAGGGCATTTAATAGTTATCATGCTTTAAACAAATTAATTCTCAATTTCTTTATTTTATTATCCACATCTTTCAAGTAGTCAATTTGGTTCCATTTCCCAAAATAAATCTTTTCAAGTTCTTCGTTTGGGCTATTACATTTATTTTGTATTTTAGCGAGTGGATGTCGTGCCTTTGGGGAAATTGAGATTTTTGACCCCTTTCAATAACCACTCTGGATTTTTGACCCCCTTTTGATTTTTACTTATTCATGACCCTTTCACCTCAGATTTCTGACCCCTCCCCTTATTTTATCATGTAAATTGACTAAATTGCCCTCATTTCATAATAAATGCATTTATGATATAATAAATTTCCAACCAACCCACCAACCACCAACTTAACAATTCTCACTTTGTTTTTTCAACTCCAAATCACCACACACACGCAAGTCACGTTTTTTTTTCTTCCAATACTCAAGATTTTCTCCACGTGATTGTTGGCCCACATTATCCAATCGATCGGTCCCCACATAATCCGTTATCTCGAATCCATTGTTTTCACAATATAGGTATGTCCATTTCATCATTTTAGAATATTGTACTTCTCCAAACTTGTAATGATACGAAATTTTATCATTTTTCTAGAAAAAAACGTTATTTTACGGAAAACAGAAATGAAGTCTAGAATTTATCTTGGACCGGGATTGGTACCGGGATGAAATTTAGAACC